CATTCTTTTGACTTATATTGCAGTGACTGTATCACAAAACAAAAGTACAAAAAACTATCCAAACACACAAACAATTTAGGCCTCTAATCCCATAGCAGAGGGGATATTACTGAGTTTTACATTAATTTGTCTTCTTAGCTCCCTAAATTTGGTTTTCAAAATTTGTTACTTTTACAGAAAATCAAATTAGTAGATTAGTATGGAATTCAAATAGTGAAACAGCAATTTGGGCTCTCTCTAGACAGCATTAAATTAATACAGGTTTTGAGTATACTCAAGACAGAAAAGACACTAAATTTTAGAGGCAAAAAGAAGGCTGCCAAAGCTGCATTTGGCCTTGGAAAGGAAATATTGAAAACATTCTTTAACCATGTAAATGAAAATGCAATAAATGCAGAGTCAAGATTAGCAAAATAAAGATACATTTCCCTATGTCAATGATATTCTATTTCTGTTTTTTGTAAGATGAACTATGTTTCTTGAACAGACAGAGTTAAAGCTAATGGAATGATAGATAGAAACTGCCTAACAAGACAGGAACTAAAAAATACATCTGCATCAACACAGAAGATAATTTTCATACAAGAGTATAAAAACTACCTACGAAATTGTAAGTTCATCTGTAAGGTATCTGAATAATTTTATCAGGTCACCTTGCATATTGTGTAAATGAGAGTAGAAGTATTTTGTGAGGGATGGAAAGTAAAAATGTTCTGTACAATTACAAACCTATTAAATTAGACTCAATAGCAGACAGTCTACAAAAGAAACCATGGAAATACAAATTTGGATCTAACATGACAGATTTATCAAAGTTAGACCATGCTAGCCAGTTTAATACCTTTCTTGGGCAAGATAAACCAAAGATTTTATTTAGGAATTATATTGACTCTGAGGGCTTCATAAAATGCCATGTGCTAAAGCCTGAAAAATTAGGAACTGAAAGAGGAAGTATATAGACTGGGAAGAGAATTAGTGAGAGGAGAGGTAGTAATGTATTACTGAGAGATATACCAGGGCTACAGGGCTAGTTCCTGTAGCAGAAATACGAAGATTGAATCAGCCTTATTTAATTTTTTCAAGAGAGATTTGATGCACAAAAATGCACTAAGTGGATGGTCATCCACCTTAGGACATTACTGGAAGAGAACATACAGAGGCACAATGATAATCTGCAAAATATTTTGTGAACTTGAAATCTGAAAAAAGAGGAGATGGAGCAAAACAGCACAGCAATTATATCTCCTCTTTTTCCCTAGATTCCACTAAGAAGAATTTCTATTCCCACATTCAAACGTTTCCAGTAAGGAAAGCAAGTATTGCAAACAAGCTTGCATGTTGTATTTCTACATGAAAGAAAAGATTTTCAAAGGCAGATTAAAGAATTTAGTGGAAGCTGCTAGGTGATTAGGCTGTCAGTTAACTTCCTCTTAATGGTGGGTAGTAAAATAATAACCTTTGCAAAAATTTGCTTTCGGCATAAAGCTGAACTTTTGTGATGACCTAAGGCAAGGGAAATATTTCTCTGTCTGCCCTAAGAGGTTCTGACTCTCAGAGAAACACTAATTTTGACCCACATTCATAGAGAAGGCTTCCAAAGCCTCAAAATAAACTAGAGATCACAAAAGTGTGAAATTAATCATAAATAGTAGTATAGTATGTCACTTAGGTGAGAAATTTAAGTTTTAAGATTTTTAATAAGTTGTAGATAGAAACAAGATAGAAAGTATAGAGTGTTGTCTCGTGTTCCTTTTTCTTCCTTTTTCTTCCTTCTTCTTCTTAAGTTTAAGTAGTGTCTCATAATTGAGTAAAAATTTCACATTACAAATCTTTAAAAGTCAGTTATTATCCAGAAAATAATCTGTGTGTTACTTATTACTTAAATTTAATTTTTAATTAATCTTAAAAAACCTTGTAACACAAAATTGTTAGCCATTTTTGTGCTGTTTTCATACACACAAAGCCCAGTATAAACAATGTACTAAAGTTTTGATAAAATAACAATAAAACAAAAAAGCTAAATACTAAATAAAAATCCTCTACATCTCCTTTTCCTAACACAAAATTACTCCAGGAGAGTTTCCCCTATCAGAAAAGCCCCAAAAGAGAAGCCCAACATACAGCAAACAAATCCATAATACTTTTATAACTTAGAGATACATTTCCAGAAGTCTCACCTCATCTATATGTTAGAGGGTTAAGCAACCCTTATGAATAATAGCTTTATTGATAGAGAATTAGAATGACTCCCAAAAGAAAATTTATTGCCAAAGTGTATTCTGATTGCCACTTTAATATTCTTAGTGTTCAAATCATGCTATCAGCTAAATATTTGACAATCAAAAGCGTAATCTGGCAAGGGAGCCTGAGTAAAACTCAGACATGTAGACTCAAAATGTTAATTTGAAACAAAATGCTTGGATCTCCTCTACAGAAACTAAATTTTACTCAATATCTCATTTAAGCTTCAGTTCAGAATGAAAATGCTGGCTTTAGCAAATGCTTTGTCCAGGCAAAGTGAAAGAGAGATCACATTCATAATATTTGCTTCTTGGTGCTCACTGGAGAGAATTAAATTAGCAAAATTTCAACAATAATAAACCTTGGACTGATTTCTGTGTAGATTATTAAATACAGAACATATTGTGCATTGTTTTGTGTCATCCTCCCAAACCCACCCTTAATACCCAGAGTATGCTTAGGTAAGGCATTTCCAGTTCCAATTAGGTGCATCTCTTCTCCCTCTTCACCCCTCAAATTCTGGGCGCAAAGGAGAGGATCTAAACAGGAATTTTACAGTACATTAAGTTTTCATGTAAATAGAAAATGACTTCAAGACTTTTGGCAATCAGCCAAGAATGGATTTAGATTCTATAATTCATAACAGCTCTTCCAGAAATACAACTGGAATCTTGCTAAAGCCATGCCCCTGGTTCAGTACAAGTGGGACTCGTGGTTCTTGCTTGAAGCTAAAAAATCTGCAAAGGAAGACATAACCAATTCTGTAGAATCTACCAACCTTAATTTGAGGCTGACCTAGGGATAGGATGACTGCCTAAGAGAATTTTTAAGTTGACCATTCAACCTGTCTGTTCACCACTGATGTTAAGTTTTATTTTGCTTCTCAGAAAGTTTCAGAGAAAACTACTGATATAGATAAAAGGCCTTATGTTGAAGAGAATTTCTCCAAATAAAAAAACCTCAAGGGAGAAGAGAGATTGATAAAGTGTTTGTATAGAAACTGAAAGTTGTGCTGTAGCTGAAATGGACTCAGGGCATTAAGCTTGTAGTTTGCAGGAAGACAATATTTCTCTCTAGAGCAGACATTACAAAAAAAACCAAAAAAAACCCCAAAACAACAACAAAAAAAAACCCCAAACCCAACAAAAACTCTAAATCAGAAAACCTTCCAAACAATAACATTGCATCCAAGGTCTCCAAGTAGAATTTTATGTTCTAACACCTTATACAAATCAATATATAGGAATACTTCTCAGTATGAGCAGTATAGTTAAATACAAATAATTAAATAGAATCAAATAGCATTGACTGATTGAATAATTATGTCTATAATCAAAGGCAAAGATGCTGGTTTCAGTTGGACTTTGAATGACAGGGATCATCCATATTTCTTATTTTTTAATTTAAATGGGGGAAAACAGCACTCTCACTAACAGCTACTAAGAAATTGCATTTAATATACCTGCAAGCATATGTGTTGCCTAAAATAAGGTGAATTTTACTTACCTTTTCTAGTAGTGGAGATCTGGGTTCAGAGAAAAGACTACTTCATACTTCAGTTTCCCACACACAGAAAATGTGTATTCTGTTCAAAATTACCCCAAAACTATTTCTGACTCAGAGGAAAAATAGTCATAGATGTTAATTATGGCTCTTATCCTTCTGGTGTTAGTGAAGTATCTGGAAAAATAAGTCTATTTTTTAGCTATGGAAGACAAGATAAGGCAAAATGACAGACAATGAAGGATAATGACATGGAAAAGCAGAGTTCAAACACTGTTCTTGGTAATCAACCAATAGTGGATATCTGGAATGAATTCTGTAAATCTTAACATCTCAGGGTCATGTCCTGTGTCATCCTCAGGGGTTGCATTTTCAGTGATTCTATAATTTTACATCCAACAGAGAAGGAGCCTTAGCTTTGAAATTTGCTTGAGCCATGTACGGCTACAGGGGCTTCCTAGGCCTGACTGGCTGGAGATCAGTAGTTCACCTGCTTTTACTGGGTTTTTTTGGTTTTTTTTTAAGTTTTACTGCTTTTACTGAAAAGATCCCTCTTGTTCTGCCTCATCTCTCAGCCTTCATTTAGGTGCAGCTCAGCAGCCTTGAGGCTAATGGGTCAGACAACAGAACGGTGAGGGTTTGCTTTTCAAACCTTTCCCCAGCTTGCACGTTGGAAATCCGCACAAAGTTACTGTTCGTGTCAGTAATGGAGAGATGGACAGGTAAGGAGAACTCCCTAAACAAGGGAGAGAGGAAAACAATAATTACTTCTGGAATTTCTTTCAGGTAAAAATTTATCTTTGTACATTATATCTCTTCATTATCTGTATCTTCAATGGACTTGAGATAGCTGGCATCCCGTCTGACTGAAAGCAGGCCCTCTGAATGTGGATGAACTTCACCTATTTGAGAGGAAACTTTGTCTTCTGAAAAAAAAAAATTCATCCAGTTTTGACTTGGAAATTTCCATCCAAAATATAGCATCAAATTTTTTTTCCAACCAATGAAAAAATATGGAAAACAAACAAACAAACAAAAACAAACAAAAAGAACAAAAAAGAAAAAAAAATGAATAAACCAAAAACAGACTATTAAGAAAGCTTGAGGGAAGGGAAGCACAAAGAGAAATGAGAACTAAAACATAAATGAGTATTTTTTGTTTTAATCAAATTTTTGGATTATGTTTAAAAAAGGATGAATAAGTACTCCATTGTGGTACTTGCCTGTATTTAAACAGCTGTAGTTATTTTTTCCTCTTGCATGGACCTTTCTGTTGTAGTAGCTCTTGCAATATCATTCTAGCACAACCTTTTTTCAGGATAGCAAATAGTGTTTTATGCAAATAATAATGTGCTTTGCCTTCCATTAAATTTCTCAAAAGTCACAAATCCAAACTGAAAAACAGCCTCCTCTTATCACCCCTTTTTGCAGGCAGCAGCCTCTCCTACAACCCCAGGAGAAGGCAGACAGGCAGTACAGCACTGGATGTTTAGGAGCTGGATTAGCAGCCTGCGCAGCTATTTTGTCAACAGGCTGTTTTCAGGGACATTGCCTGGGACTCTCTAGGCCCTCTGAATCCTTTTCTACAGCCATTAACAAGCAGATCAACTTCAGCCCCTGTGCTCAGGAACAGTTTCTGGTATCTCAATCACCTTCCAGACAGAGAAGAAAATGGAGCCCGGTAATTCTCAAATAACATTTTGTTGATCTTCCAGGTACGCGGAGTCTGAAGAGAAGAGGGAAATTTTTGTCATCTATAACCAGATGTTGGTGACATTGGAATTGGAATTGTAGCCACCTGTGGGATGCATTGGTGATAGTTCCCAAGAGATGAGCATATGATAGACGGTATGTGTAGACCACTGTGAGATCATGACTGCAGCGTAGCTACCTCCATAGGAACTGGAGAACATAGGGCTGGAAAGATGTCTGTGACATAAAACTAGTCAATGAGGTACCACATTTTGTTCTGGATTTGTACTTTATTGAGTGAGAAAGGTCTATAGATCAAAGACTGTATTTTAAAATTAAAACAGAATTTCAGAGTAACACTTTGGGGCCTCAAAAGCCATAGTAGTGGGATTTTGAAGTTTATGTTTAAGAAATTGTTTAAAATAATTACAATGGTTTGCAATTATTTTAAACAATTAAACTCTCCCCAAAGTGGTTTTCCATCTGCTTTCCTGCCTTTCCCCATGTCAATCCTGGGATATACCTCCCTTATTTCCTGACCTTTCGCTGTCTATCTTCTAAATCCTGCCCCTGCAGCTTGTCTGCCATTATTTGCTACACCCGTTTATCTGGAAGATTCCCTGTCAGCTATATTTTCCCTCACTCACTGGCACATTAGGTATGCACTCTCCCCTTCCCCTTCCCGATTGGTTTTATGTTTACACATATCCACTCCATACTCCTCCTATGGGCAGCACCCACTTAAAAGCCGCTGTTCTTCCTACTTCATGCCTTTGGCCTTGCCTTTACTTTGAGCCATTACACTGTATCACCCTGTGTTGCTGCCCCCTGCACTATTTGCTTGACACCAATAAGTATTAAGTGAATAGATACTTCCCTAAAGATTTTTTTTAATTGCTTTATCATTGTATAAGGAAGATTAGTTCTAAGACAAAAGACTTTCCTTATGTCTAAACAGCACATAAAGCAACCTTTACATTTCTCTGCTCCAGGCCATTTATTGGCATCAACCATGTGCCAGGACCTCTTTTCAGGAAGCGCAGAGGGTAACTTCCATACAGAGGAGAAAAGTAATTTAAATTCCTAAGCAGAATTTGGACTTAACGCATTCTTCACCAATGGCTAAGCATGATGTCCTTACATCTAAAATTAGTGCTCTCAGACACCACCTTCCTAGATACAAGTCATCAGAGAAACAAGCATAAGATGGAGAAGATCAGCTATATGAAAGGCTGGTGTCAGGAGATCCTTCAATAACTGCATTTAGGGCTATCTCGAAGACAAGAAAAGTAAGCTTGAAATATCTCACTTTATTCAAGACCCTTAGCCACCTGGGAAAAATTTGTATCAACTGTTGCAATGTTGTGGTATCATCTGGCTGCAATTAACCTGGGCCTGAACCCAAACCTTCTCTTTAGGCTTAGTCACCTGCTGAGGCTGCAATTCACCTCTTCTCCTGAGGTAGGTAAAGTTGAGTTAGGATCAGGAAATATCAGGTTGGGTGATTCAGGCTACAGTCTCGGCTGTCATCAAAGGCTGTTAACATCTTTACTTGCTTAACTAATGCAAGCTATGGATAAACCATTTCAATTCAGCAGAAGGGTGTCAACTGGAGTTGTAAAGTTGGGCTTTATAGGGAATTTAATGCTCACAGTGCCTTTTGTTAATGAGGCTGGAGGTGTGCTGCACATTTACTTATATCTGGAATTTTTGTGATTCATGTTTATTTAACTAAGGTATTGTTAAATGGTCCAATCTGTTATGTCCCCATGCTTTTCCTGAGTTTTTTTCTTAAATCGTACCCTCCTTTCCCTCTGTCCCTCAAAGTACCCCCTCCCTTTGTTCCAGACCCTTCCCTGCCTGTCAAGGTGACCCTGCCCGTTCTTTCAGAACTTTCCCCACCACTCTCCACTTGGACCAATGCCCAACAGAGACTTTCCTCCTCCCCCTATCCTCGCTGGTTTCTAAACTTCAGTTCTGCCTCTAGTGCCACCTTATTGGTTGGCGACTTATGTCCACCCCCTGTTCTGCTGTGGCTTAAAACATGGTGCACAGAAGTGCTCGAGGCTCTCTGTGTCCTGACCCCTCCGATTCCAAAAAACGGGTTGGAACTTCACGACTAGAGTTTCCTCTACCTTCTTTACCCAGCCCCTGCCCTGCTGCTGAGGAACACTTTCTCTCCGTGTAGAGCACTGCTAGCTTTAAGGTTCTGCTTCTGGCTTTACCCCTGCTGTGGCAGTTCCCCACAATTGCCACTCCACCGGAGCAAATCGAGCAAGCCCGGGTTCTGGTGCAAAGTTGCATGGAAAAGATCCTCACTTCCTACAAAACCTAAGAGCACCACTGACAGAGAATGATATTTTGCTTGACCTTAATGGACATTGGTGATTGCCAGTAGTTTGTTTATACTTAATAAGGGAAAAGTGAAAGTATTCAAATGAAAATTGTATGTAACCAAGTTGGGAATAAACTAGAGTTTTGGTGAGCTTTACCAATCTAGGCAGGAAATAAATAAGCTGTGGAATTGTGTTATTATATGTTCTATTATGTATAAGGTCATTCCATGTATCCCCCCTTGCTCTGTAACGACATCCCGGGTTCTCCCATCTCCCCCCCGCGGTTTGCCTTCCCGAGAAAGTGCCGAGTCACTCTGTTTACGTCCCTCAGACCATCTGTCAGCCACGCGGCGGGGTCGGGAGACGACCTGGCACCCCACTGTCCCCAGTCCCCCCGTGGCGTTATCTCATTGGCCGCCCCGGGTTTCCCCTATCCAGTACTTACAGAGCGGGTTGGGGACGCCCCGGTGCTTTTTCTCCCGCCTGGCCCCTGACTGCTGCTGCTGCCCGACCCGCGGGCTTTTTCTCCCGCCGGATTCCTGCGTGCCGCCGCGGGCTTTTTCTCCCACCTGATTCCTGCGCGCTGCTGCGGCTCTCTCTCTCGCCCGGCCCCTGACTGCCGCAGCCGCCGCCGCTTGCATCTGCTTCGCCACCACTGCCGCTGCCCCGGGCGATCGCGGCCACCTCGGACTGTCCTGCGATCGCTGTCACAGCCTCACCGCTGCCGCCGCCGCTGCCGCGGTCGCTGTGGCTCCCGCGCGTGCCGGCTGCAGCGCCACGGCTCCGCACGCTGCCTCTCTTGGCGCCCGGCCAGCTTCGGAGCGCGCCGCCCCGCCCCCAAACCAGCAAGGCGGCACGGACAAACTCTAACTTAGCACGCAGCAGCCCTTTCGGTTTTTGCCTTCCCAACCAAGCCGCAATAAACCGAGATATTGCCCGCGAGGAAAAAGTCTCTCTCGTTTTATTCGCCTCGGGACTTGCCTCGCTCCCAAACCCACGCAGCACCGGCCGATACCCGCAAGGGTTCGCCGGAAAACACGGAAGTTGCCAGCGCTCCCCCCCCTCTCATGGAGCTAGCTGGGACGAAAGGGGGGACAAAAGAGTGCTAAGGCAGTTGTGGCGCCAAACGCGTTGCTTGGGAGCTCCAAGCACACGGACTGAGGACCACCGAGCCCCGAAAAGCTCGTTGATTTACCTCATGGACGTTACAACACCCTCGCAAGCCGCGGTTCCGTTTTAAGGAGCCAGGGCTTCCAGAGGGGTGGGGCCGGCACCTTTGGCTAGCACCGCCGAAGCTCGGCCCCCCCACGGCGAAAACTTCGCAGCTGTACTTTTCATTTCGCCTTCGGACGTCGCCGGACCCGTGGTGAGTTACCGGGGTCCCCCTGGGCTGGGTACGCCCTGCTCCCTTTGGGGTGAGTTTCTCTTTCTCCCACAAGAGGGCGATAAGAGCCCACATTTTGTCTCCCGCTGCAGGGAGTGTGTAAGGGAAGGCTTCCCAGTCTCCGACAGGTGTCTTTTTTTTCTTTTGATATTTTACCAGCCGCGAGGGTTGTGACACGCCTTAACATCAACATAATGGGTGCAAAAATGTCTGTGTCACAGGAGAGAATTTATGTTCAAACCCTAGGAATTTTAGTTGGGGAAGGGAAGAAATGTAAAAAATCAGACGTGAAGCGTTTTGCACGGTGGCTTCTGCAGTCTTTCCAGGACCTGTCACAGGAAAATTTGTACCAAGTTCAATTCTGGGACCGAGTGGAAGAAGAAATTGCCCAAAAAGAGGATCAGTCCCTCTCAATTTTTATCCACCTGGCAATCCAATTGAAAAATATTGTCAAAGATAACTGCGAAGGGAAGCCAGAGCCACTGCAGGACGAACGCTGCCTCCCAAGCCCCCCAAATCCCCCAAAAACCCTCTCCTATCCCTCTCTCCCTAGCCCAGGGATTCTCAGACAGGCATCCCGGCAAAACCAGCCGCAGGCAGATTCTGGCCTCTCTGTTAACCCCCAGGCTCCATTGCAGGACGATGCTGGCATCACCCTGCACCCTTCCCCTCCCCAAACCCCCTCTCTTTGTGAAGTTGTGAGTTTTAAAACCCCAGATTCTTCCCCAGGACCTTCCCCGGACCTTTCCCAAAATGATTCCCTTCCCTGCCCCAGGGCACAAGATGGAGGGGATCGCATGGCATGCCCATCCCCCTCCCTCCGTGCTTTGTCTCCTAATGACCCCCTCCGCCCTACAGCCAACCCCTCCCACTCCCAAGACTTTTCCACCCACCCCTCCCCTCCACCCCCTTCTGGCACCTCCCCTAATGAATCATTCATCAGTCCTCCCTCCGACCCCGCCCCTGCAGGTGAGGTAACACCAGCCACACCCCCTAGCCCTGGTCCTGCCTTCGCCCTCCATTCCCACGACCCGCCCTCTGGTTCCCACGCCTCGGTTCCCGAGGGGGGGGGGGGCGGAGGAGGAGGGAGGGGGGGAGGGGGGAAGCCGCGACCTGCCACAACCCCTGCTTGCCTTTTCTGCCGCACCAGTCACCTACACCCCGCGGCAGAGGGACAGACCCTTGGCACAGTGGGCCCCCATCCCACAAGCTGTAATTAGAGATGTTTGCAAAGCCCAAAAAGACTTTGGTCGGGAAAGTGAATACTTTCAGGGACTTTTAAAAGTCACACTTTCCTCCAACGAGTACGTCCCTACTGACATTCGCGCTCTGTTTTTGTGCTTGCTTACTCAAGCCGAGTTTTTGGTATGGGAATCTGCATGGAGGCGGGAGGTACGGGATGCATTACCGCAACTTTGGGCAAAAGCCGAGACCTCCTCTGACACCGATGGAGGGATGCTAACCATTGATCACCTGTGCGGGATCGGGGATTGGGACGTGGCAACAATACAGGCTGAAAAGATTCCAAGGGGGGGCATTGGCAGCAACTGCCAATGCGGCAGAAAAAGTATTTTTTAAGTTAAAACCCCGTGGTCCTGTTGTTAACTGTTTTTCTATTAAGCAGGAGACACAGGAATCTTTCGTTAGTTTCGTAGACAGGTTGTACAGGGCAGCTGAATCGCAGGTGCCAGAGGACGGATTGAAGCAGATGGATGGTGAAGCAGATCGCCCTGCAGAATGCCAACGAGGCCTGCCGACAGGCGATGCTGAGCCTGCCCCTCGACCCAGAGCCAACGCTCCAGGACATGCTGGACGTGTGCGCTCGAAGGGTCACCCTGCCTTCAAAAGACCCTCAGGGGACACCCCAAATGCCATCACGGAGAGTCTCCTTTGCCGAAGCCCACACGCCATCCACGGCTCCGGCTCCTGCACGCCGCTTCACTGGGCCACCACCCAAAGGTTACCATCCAGGACGGCCCTGCAACCTGTGCAATAAGAAAGGACACTGGGCATCTCACTGCCCC